TGATCCGATCCGAACCGTGAGATTTTTGATCCGTTGCACCACTATGGATAAGTGTAAAAAAGTTTTGAACATTTTGAGGTGTTTGGTTGGGAAGGATTGGGGCGCGGATAGGGAGTCCCTGAGGGCTATATACACTGGATTGATAAAGTCAACGTTAGATTATGGTTGTCTGGCATATAATTCGGCAGCAGACACTTCTCTTAGCAAGCTAGATTTGATTCAGTATCAGGTGTTGAGACTTTGTACAGGGGCATTTAGGATGACTCCCACTGTAGCCTTGCAGGTGGAGATGGGGGGAAATGCCACTAGGGTTGAGGAGGGAACAGTTTAAATTGACATATTGGGCAAACTTACAGGGTCAGGGGACAGGTCACCCTAGATGTACTTAGACCTTGCTGTGAGATGGGCAGTAGGGAGTTAAAGAGCTTTGGATAGGTGGTGGGGGGAAGAGCTAGGGAACTTAAATTGGACCACTTAGACATATGTCGGCGAGTGCCTGCAATCCCTCCATGGATACTTCCTAAAGCAGCTGTAGATTTTTCTTTGAGAAGAGTAAGGACGGGGCAGGTGGTCTACACTCAATTCAGGGTTTCATAGATCAGTATTATGGGTATGTGCAGGTATATACGGATGCTTCAAAGAATCCAGCTAGTCAAGTGAGGGTGGCAGTAGTAATTCCGGACTTTGTGGTAAAAATTGGGAAGAGGATTAATAATGGATTGTCTGTGTTTACAGGAGAAATGATAGCGATTCTATTAGCAGTGCAGTGGGTGGAAGATTTTAGGCCATTGAAAACAATTATTTATTCAAATTCCAGTGCAGCCTTGGTTAGCCTACAGAATGGTCATTCGAAAGGTAGGTCAGATATTTTATTAGAGGTTCAGCAAACTCTTTACAGGATACATATGATGGGTCTATCGGTATTGTTTGTATGGGTCCCGGCTCACTATGGGGTAAGGGGGAATGAAGCAGCGGACAGGTTAGCAAAGGAAGCCACTAATCATGAGATAGTTGATCTGGCGGTGAATTTTGGTCAGGAGGAAGTAAAGAGTATTATTAAGCTAGAAATGAGGGGTAGATGGCAGAAACAGTGGGAAGAAGACAGGAGGGGAAGGTGGTTATATAAAATTCAAAGGGGGGTGGGAGTGAGGCGATCCACAAGAAGGAGTAGGCGAGAGGAGGCGGTGGTGTCAAGACTGAGATTTGGGCATACGGGTTTGAATTCCACACTGTTCTTGATAGGGAAACATGCATCAGGGAAATGTGATTATTGTGGAGCGGATGAAACTTTGGAGCATGTTATTTTGCAGTGTCGGAATTATACGGTAGAGAGGAGACGGTTGGTCCAAAATCTCAGTAGCATTGCTATGAAACTTGATCTTGTAGGGTTACTGCAGAAGGAGTCAGGGGATAAATGTTATCAGGCATTGTTTCAGGTTTTGAGAGAAGGAAGGTTGTTTGGGAGGATATGAAGTGGGGTTTTTTGTTTGTTTGTTTGTTTTTATTTTGTTTTGTTTTGTTTTTTAGCGTGATTTCTGTCCACACTCCATACCAGTGGTGTCGGTAATGCACCATGCAGTTGTTTGCCAACCGCCAATAATACGTAAAAGAAGAAGAAGAAGAAGCGGAAAAAAGTGCGAGAGAGAGCGTGAGAAAAATAAAAAAAATAAAAATCTATTGGGAGCGGTTTCGCGTCGCTCACTTCAAAGACCTGGCTCTCCTCACTATTTCCCCTGTTTAAAGTAAGTGCCATGCACAGATCTGTATAAACGTGGCAGCATGTGTTACTGTTGCTTATTACATTGTTATCATTGTTCATTGTAGCGGAAGATGTGAATTGCGGACTATTTTGCTGAGAAGTTCCAGTTAATCTCTGTTGCTGTGTATGCTAGTTTTCGCTATTACTCCGCCATATTGTGTGAAGATTTTTCTGTTACTATCTGTATAAGTTAACTACTGAAAGACATGCAGTACTTAAAGTATTATTTCATTGCTGTGGAAAGTTAGTGACTGTGTCAGCTAACATCTGCAAGTTAAAAATATGTTTTTGTCCGTTAATGTTATGTAAAGTATTGTCACTATATACAGACGCGTGAGAGTGAGAGCTGCGTGTCCGTGCCATTCTTTCACTTCTCCTCAGTATTTCCCCTGTTTTAGGGAACAACATTGGTCTGTTTCCTCTCTAATCATTCTGACAGTTTTTATAGGCCAGTCCTTCATTTCACAACTGTGCTCCAAAGCTGAATTTCTCACTATCATGCAGTCAATTTATGTGCTTTACATCCCTCATGTCTATCTCCATCTTTGTGCCTCACAGGGAAATTGAGGGTCAGGTGTATGTCGGAGAGGTGAAGGAGAAAGAGAAAGCTAAGAAACAGTAGGAGAAGGCTGTTTCCTCTGGACAGACTGCTGGACTCGTCAAGTGAGTCGTCCAGATGAACCAGAAAGACAGATTGTACAAATTAACTGGAGCTGTTAATGTGTGATAGTGTGATAGTCTTGTTGTTGTTGTTGTTGTTGTGTTTTTACTTTTTTAATTTGTTTTTATTTGTTTACAGGGCTTCTGGAAGAAAGCACTGTAGTTTTCAGTCTCTGTCAATATGGTTGGGGAAGCCTGCAGTCAGCTGTGACTGAAGAAGTCACTTGGATGAGTGATGAAACGTTTCTCCCACTGAAAACGTCCAGATGAACAGAACCAACTTTTTCAGATTTCTTTCTTGAACTTGAAACCATGGATGTCGATTTTATTGTCACTTTGCTAAGTGTTTAAATAAGTGTCCATGGATGTCGATTTTATTGTCACTTTGCTAAGTGTTTAAATAAGTGTCGATTGGATTCACTCTCCCAAACATCCACAAACTAGCAAATATTATCTTTGTGGTTCACAGCACCTCACAGCCTCCTGGACACTGAGCTCAGGGCAGCTGGTCAATATAGGAAAACACACAGATACGTGTCCCTCCCACAGGACACTGAGAGTTTTGCTCTGCACTGAAGTCAGCCAGTGTTCAGTCAGAGTTTGGTCATGTCTGGACTGTTGGGTGTTCGCCTGCTGCTGCTGTGGGGCTGCGCCTGCCTCTGGCTGAGCAGCTCAGCCTCAGGAGCTCTGGTCATCTCCAGGCACGATGAAGCCATACAGGTAACGTCAAACACTTTTGTGATATGAAACTGAAATAACATTTTGGTATGATTTTGACAGCATTGTCCTCAGAAAATAGTCCTGTAATTTAATTGAAAACAACAAAGCAAAACTTAATCACAAACTGTCTGAGTTTTTTCTTAAAACTTACTTCATGTATTCTCCATAATATCCTGTGTGTGTATTTCAGGAAAGAAGAGGAGCTGCCAGATCACTGCAGGTACTTGGCAAACGATTCACATTAAAAAATAACAAGGCAGCACTAAGATCTACATTTCCATCGTATATTTATCTATTTGTCAGTTTACCAGTAGATATGTCTTAAAAAATGGTGTGATCTGTGTTATGTTGAAGTTGAGCTGATATGACGCAGTACTAGAAACTGCAGTTTAACAGTGATTTAAACCTAATGAGGTGTTTTCACTAAGACAAAGAGACTATGTGTGAACTGAATCTATCGCCCTTTTTTCTTACAGAAAAGAAGTACAAATGAAGCAATGGTAAGAAATGTATCCATTCATATTCCTGGTGATGATAATGGTGATGGGAGATAATTGATTTAATTCAGATTAACAGATCAGATTCATGGAGAGAAACCTGCTTGTTGTTCTCGATGGGATGTGTGGATAAGCTCACAGGGACCTGAAGTGATGGCTGCCAAATAAACTGTGTGATCAAATTGTAGTGTCGGGGTTGCTGATTAATCTGTAAAGATTTCTCCTGTCTTCTATTACTTTCCCCAAATGAGCAAACTCATTATAACAGCCTCTCATTAGGGCTGTGCAATATGACCAAAATCTCATATCCCGATATAAGAATTCTATCGTCC